TGCAGAAACCAACTAAGTATGAGGAACCATAAACTCAAATCAAAACCAAAGTCAGAACCGTAAATGAAGTTCAAAAAACAAGAAGACGAAATCATCGTGGTTTACTTATGCATTTAGATGAATGGGTGGATAGCAGGGCTGGTTTGGCTAACGAAAAACCGAAGCGTACTTATTGCCAAATGGAATAAACAAAATGTGCCGGCGTTTGGCGTCGTCGCTGTTAAACTTGACATAAAATGAATATACATAGATAGAGATGTGTGGAAAAACCAAAGCAAATCGAACCGATCCTCGCCGATCCTTTGAGGGATCGACGACCGGTTAACGGTGAAGTATAGCTTCGGCACACACACACACTGACACAGCAGTGGGCGCGGAGGTTGGAGGGAGACACATAGCACGAGCAACTGATCCTTGGTTATCTTCTTCTTATCTTTCGTCTTCGGTTCTCCTTCTTCTTCTGGGGATTCCATTTCGAGTTATTCTCTGGCAATTTCTCCTCGTTTTCGTGGGGTTCTTCTCTCTTCTGGATCGTCTGTGTAGACTGTCTGACTCTGTGTTCTGAACTGACTGAACTTTGAATTTTGATCTGACTGTACTTTGGATGTATGACCCTATTTTTTTTTAATTGAGTGTGTCATGACTGTGAGTGTGTGCGTAAGAATTTTGCTTTACTTATTTCTTTATTGGGATGAAATGAAAAATGGCAGATGACAAGGGCAAGGCTGCTCGGCAATTTTCCTGAGCTAACAGTAAAACTGCCGTGCAGCCGTGTGTAATTTTCCAAGAAACGTGTTTTTAACGAAGTGTCCGTAATATAGAGATTAGGTATAGTTAAGCGATCGTAATTAGGCAAAGAGTAGTTGCTGATATAATGCTCATTCGAGTACTCGAGTCAAGGAACGAAATCAAAATCAAAGCGAGAGAAAAAACGTGTTCAAAGTGAGTAGAAAGCCAAAAAAGATTCGATTCAACTCCTTAGTTGGTGTATGCATTCCTGTGTGATTGTGGGTGTGTGTGTGTGTTTGGGTGTTTGGGTGTGTGAGCTGTGTGGATATATAGTAGGTAGCAAGTAAGTTGTTTTTATGCAAATGTGCTAAGCGTGCGCCCTTGTGTTCATTTTTGTTTTTTGCTTTTGAGTTTTTGTTTTTTGTACTTTGCTTTTGATATGGGATTGCTTTGCTTTTGCTTTTTGTTTGCATTTCTTTGATTTGCTTTGCTTGGAATTGAATTTGCTGGCAGATTGCGCTTGACGCGATCTGATTCTGGTACTGTCGCGATCTCATAATCGAACTTCGATTTGGTCGATTTCGATTGGATACAGCAACTGATTGCACATGCACCGGAATCGGGAAGCACAGGGAAACGGGACTTAGGAGCAGAAGCAGGAGCCGCACAGCCTCAGCATTTTGAGGGCTGTTAGATCTTCCTAGTTGTTCGTTGTTGTTCTAGACGCTGATGTTGCCGCGGCAGATATTGCTGCCGCAGTTGCTGCTGCTGCTGCTGGCATTGCTGGTTGCGATAGCGGTATATGATATAGCGGTAACAGTAACGGTAACGGTAACGGTAACGATATAGCAGGATAGCGCAGGAGCTTCGGCGGAGCAGGTGCAGGCGGCGGAGCGCTGAAGCGATTCTTACAGTTTTACATTCGGCGCAGGGGGAAGAACGTAAGCAAAAGTTTACAAAATATTCCATGTACGGTTATCGTTATTATGGTCAATGCTTTTACATAAATCGAGATATATATATATATATAAAGATATATATATAACGGAGATCCGAGGGCATAGGCAAAATCAAAATGGAGGCATAGACAAAAAACGAATACGAATAGTTAAAGTCAGAACACAAAAAGATTGAGAGACATGGGAAAAAACCGACTGAGACTGCGTTTTCTTGGGAGCGAGAGAAATTTGTAAATATATATTGGAGGGTATTGTTAACGAGACGGAGACAGAGGGGTATTACTGGGGTTTCGGGAAGGGGTCTTGGGGGCTTTTCAAACTCACCGTTCGTTGGTTTTGCATCGCTTTGACTGCCGGGCCGGGTTTAACCTGTTTGGACTTCAACTTTCCAAGATTTTCAGTAAGTTGCATATACATTCTTTTTAAATATATCTTTTTTTCTTTTTTTTTACACTCGATTTGTCGCGATTGTAGTGCTCACGGAGATACGTGTATGTTTTTGTTCTTGGGGGTGATTGGGGGTGGGCGATAAGCTAAGCTACGCTAGGAAATGGCTGCAATGGAATGTGCTACTGGTGTGGCATTTTTGTATGTACGAGTATATATATATTATATATATGTACTGGCTTATGACTGGGGTATGTGTGTGAGGGTTGTCTGTCTGCGTGTTCAAAAGGGGGAGGCGCCAAGCCCCCTTTTGCCGACTTAGATCTAGGGAACTAGAGCCAAAGCTTACAATAACGATAACTGTGGAGTAACGATAGTGACTAGTTGGGTCTAATGCCACCCCCGTTGAATAATTCTACCCATAATTAATTAAATAGGGGTAAAAACAGGAGGCAAATACTACCAGCTAGTCTAAGTTGGAGTTAACGGTGCTTTTGGGTTAAGACGGTTGGGTTTGGTTCTTCGCTAGGGTTTTTCGAATGGTGGCAGATTACAGCTAGAATTGTTCGAATAAACTCGAATTGCGCCATTGCTTGCGTTTATTGGGTTAATGATTTCATGGAAATTTATTTATTTTTTATTTTTATTGAATAACGATTATAAAACATTTCATTTTTAATCTTAACAACATTTCCATTTTTTGTTTTGTTTTCATTTTGGGTTTTTTTTGTTTCATTCAGTTTAATTTGTGTGTGAGTTTCGGCTTTTGTTTCTTTTTTAATATCTTATTACACGTAATGCTAGATTTTTTACTATGGGGATTATTGCGCCTGTTAGTCGTGTTCGAATTTTCATTATATATTATCATTCATCTGCTTTGATTCGCTTGTTTAGGAGTGGGTTTTGTTCTTTGGTTCTGTATTATCTTTATAACTTTTAAATTATGCTATTGCTGATGCTCTATTTCTCGGGTTCGGGTGGAGTTCTTTGAATTAAAGGTTGTATTCGATTCGATTCAGTTCTGTCCGGTCCTGTCCGGTTCTGTTGTGTTGTGTGGTGTCTTGAACTTCTAACTAAACCTTAACTTATTTCTTGGTAGGTTGAATCGAGGCCAAATTAGAGTTCAAATAATTATTTAAAAAGTTTCGGTTTTTCGGTGTATTTTTTTTAAATCTCTATTTGCAGTCTTTGTCCTTAATAGAAATTCATTTTTCTTTTTGTTCGTTTTTGAAGCATTGAGAAGATTTTGAAAGATTTATTTTTTCCTTTTGTTGGTTTGTTTTTTGATTTTCTCGTATATAGCATATGGCATATGTATGTGTATTTTTTTATTATAGTCCGTACAATCAAAATGTTTTTTATTATTTTTATATATTTTTCTTTACGTATGTGTGTTAAGATTTTTTGTTAGGTTTGCAATTAAATTTAATGGAAAACTTGAAAAGATTGTATTTGGTTTGAATTGAACTGGAGAAGTCGAGTGTTTTTTGTGGCGTGTTAGTGTCGTATTTAAAAATAATTATGCATTAATAAGTTAGACTTTTCATTTGAGTTATTAGTGGTTACCATAACTTAGTTCTTGCCTTACAACGATATGTTTGCTTCTTCATTTTCATGTTTTTCTTCTTGTCTGGGTTTCCATTCACTAGAGTAAGAGTTGTTTCGTCCTAAGTTTTTGGTTTAGTGCATTTCGCTTTGGGTTAAAGTAGGCTAGACTAGAGTTGAGTTTTGTTGAGTAGAGCGTAGAGTTGAGTAGAGCATAGTTCAAGCATACGAAAAAATACGAAAACCGAATAAAATGCGCTTTCGCTCCTAAGTCGTGTTCGTGATGTGTCTAAATACTCGCATGTGGGTGTATCTAATCGGCTAGCATTGATCGACTGATTGACTGATTACTGATTACTGTTTACTGATTGAACAACTCAGATAACTGCGGCCGGGAGTGATTGATATGCCAAAGACGAGATTTGGGTTGAGCTCACACAACTTACGTTACGTTAACAAACGAAATTAGATATTTACAACTTTTTACTTTTTGAGCGCCAACTAATACAATTACAGTACGAACTAAGGATACAGAACTAGCGTTTTTCTTCAGACTAGATCCTAGATCGAAAGGGATACGGTTTCCGGTTCCATTTCGACTCGACTAACTACGGATCTACGCCAAAATACAAATACAAAATATATATATATATATATATATATATGGAACGGAACGGAGCGAATCGGAATGGAATGAGACGGATAAGTCGAACTGCTATAGTATTATGTATTTACAAGGCGGGGTGTTCAAGGGCACAGGGAACTGTGCGAAATAAAAAACGGTTCGAAAAACTTTGTCATATTATTTGCTTCGATTTCGCTTCTTTATTTGTGGATTCGGATCGGATTGGATCAGCAAGGGGTTCCGTTTTCTTAACCTTCTCACTGTTCATCTTGTGTACGAGTATTTAGTTTTTCTTTGGTACGTTCAAGGATCTCATTTTCGTGTTTAGTCTGCGGTTAGCTAGCTTGTAATTCGGTTGCAGCATATGCATATGTCTAGAGATATGCTACATGCTATTTGTTTTGTTTTTTTTTTGTATATGTATATGCTGTGTTTATGTACAATTTGAAATTGTTTAGAATTTTTCTCGTGTACTTAGCTCAATTTAATTACATTAAATTTGTTGTTCATTTCGAATTAATTGTAATTTATTTAAACATATAATAACATTTCTTTGCTGAACACATTTATTCCAAAAATTTTTCTGTTTTTTTTTTCATGTTTTAATAATTTCAGTTTTTTAAGCTTTTATATGTAAATATTAACACGATTTTCATTTTCTGTTTTCTCCGTTTTATTTGTGTTTTTTTTTTTAATTTGTGTTTTTTTTGTTTAATTATAGTGGCTTATTTTGTGATTAAATCAAAGTCTTAAGATGTAGGACAAAATATGAACGTATAATCGTAATAATAAAATTAAAATAAAATTCTAAATTTTGCTATACATCGGTAATTCTTAGACTCATTTACAGTTATGTTTGCTAAATTTATTCATTTGTCTAGATTAAGGCTAGGAAAAAAAAACAACCTTACTTTACACTCGGCTCTTTGTATCTGCTATCTGGTTTAGTTTTTTCTTTTGTATCTTTTATCTGCTATCTGGTATATTGAATCTATGAAGCTAAAATCACCTCCTCCGACCGATCTAAAACATAAAATCTAATCTTAGGTAAGCGGTTTTCTTTTCGTTATGCTTCATTTCCCTCTCCTCAATCCCCATTCCTCATTATTTTGGTGTTTTGCAAGTTTCATCGTCTTCGTCTGGACCAATATTTTCATCTTCTTTAATGCTTATACTCGTATGTGTCGTAGATCTTTGTTTTCTTACAGATATAGAGACTAAGTACAGTAAAATTAACTGACATTTGAATGTGTTATTCATTAGTTTTATTCATTTATTACTTATACTCTTTGGTTTTATTGGGTTTATCGTTAGGCGTTTGTTCATGTTTTATTTATTGTACAAAATAGCATTTGCAAGATGCAGTTTTGACTGGAGAGTATTTACAGCAGTTAGCAGCCACAGTGGGAACAGCTCATTTTCTTCGGGTTGGGGAAGCGATTATTTACACAGTGTCGAATGCACATCGTATGGTTTGGCCCTTTATATCTGGCCTCCACTGTGGCGTCCTGGAAACGTAGCTTTATTGTTCGCTTTCAGCTGTCCTACTGAATTGCTAGGGGTTGGGGGGGTGGTGGCGGGTGTTAATAAAAGGGGGGCGTGGGGCGTGGCCCTCTGATCAACGGCTGAGGCAAAGGGGGTCGAGTTGGCCAGCGCACAATGTTCCTTAAGGCACTTGCTCTGCTCTGCTCCTCCGGATCTTTAGTTGGCACTGGTTTCGCCGAAGCCCCTTGTACTCTACGCCCCTGACCATTGACTTCGCCTGCTTATATCTATGTGTGTGTGTGTGAGTGCGCGTGTAGTGTGTGTGTGTGTGTGCGTGGACGGTTCTCAAAGCTTTTTAAAATGTACACTTGAATGATCGGTATCTCGTTGCCATTGCTATCCATCAATTTACATCGGCAAGAGCAACCTCCCTTATATACAGGCTTCCTATATACTCGTATGTATAAATATATTCATCTATGCAGTTTGGTATTCACATACACACACATAAATATATACTTTCATATTATATATATTGTGTAGTTTCTCATTTACTATACACTTAATGCAAAAGTTGAATTCGCATAGTTCAGCTAACGATTTCTTTTTTTTTGTTTTTGTTGTTTAACTACCTTTTGCTATTTGAAAGTGAAAGGTGTTCAGTGTTTTATTTTTTCGGGTGGGACTGTGTACCGACCAACCCCTGCAATTCAGTCAAAGAAATCATTGCTGGAGAGCCCCATCTTTAAGTTAATCTTTTACCTTTAGCTTTTTTGGTTTAAGTTGTTTCTCGTTTATCGTTATGTGGTATAGTTAGCTTTCATTACAAAAATCATAAGAGCGTTTTCTGTTTTTTGTATCTCTTGTCGCCATTTTTGTTGCTTGTGGGTTTATTGTGATTGAGCGGATCTCTGACTGGGGATACGAGCAACCCGTTGGAAGTTTGACTAATGTTCGGTCTTGTAGTTAATTGCAGTCGTTTCGCCATTCCTTGAAGCTCTGGCTCTGCAGCACTCGTATGATTTACCTTATTTTGTTCGCTTTCGCTTTTGCTTTTGCCTTTAGTTGAATATTTGTACTTTTTATTTCGATTTAATTCGGGGGGATCGAAGCAGAAGACATAGCTGATATGGGTTCAGTTAGTCAGTGGAGGTGAGAGGTTTGGTGGGTGGTGGTAAGTGGTAAGTGGTAAGTGGTGGGGTGGGTGGGCAATAGGTGGTGGTACAGATTTCTCCTAAGCTTTAGTCAAAAAACAAAGGGACTTGAGTAATGCCACGAACGATATTGTTTAGGTTATACACATAGTACATCTATCACATATATGTATGTGTGTGTATTTCTTAGTTGGTTAGTTCAGTTATTAAGTAGTTCAGTTAGATGGTTAGTGTCTAAGTTAGTTACACGATAGTATTTCCTGTCACATTTAAAAGCAGATATTGCCTCTTTTTTTGTTTTGATGACTATACAAGTTGTTGTTTTCGGGTTTACGTTAAATATTACGGCAGTTTTACTATACTTTCTTGTAGTGTGTGTTTCAGTGACTGAGTGTGAGTCGTTAATCTGCTTTTTGGGTTTAGTTTTTCAGTTTTTTCAGCTGTTAAAAGGACATCCCTCCACACGGACTTGCTCATCACTCGGATCATTCGACCGTTCCTCTATATGAGTGCTAAAATAATAGCATGTCACCTTAGAGATTTATTGCATTATTTACAGTTTCCGTTGGCAGCTGCAGTTTGATCGCGTTGTTATTGGCTTTCGGTTGTTAAAAGTTTGATTTGAAATCTGCCCTCACTGCTTCGATGTTTATGCTGTTGCTTTTATGTATCTCTTTCCGTTTATCATTGTTATTTGTCAATCTTTTTTTTGGTTATGCCATACTACTCGTATTTATTAGTACTCCCTTACTCATTCAAGTTCTGCTCTTTTTCTGTTGTGGATTGGATTTGTTTTTGGTTTTTTGGTTTTGTGATGTTTATCTTTAAATGTATAATTTAATTAAATTAATTTAAGTTTAAATTTAGGTTTAGATTTAGATTTAATTTAATTTAGCAATATATTAAATTTGTTGTTGTTATTTGTTCTACTTAAATTAAATATAAACAGCTTTTGTAGTCGTTTCTGGCATCCAACGTAACTCCTGTCAAGGCCAAATTTATACCACGCAACGTCTTTTGCACTAGTTTTACGTTTTACGTAAAACATACATCATATACATCATACATACGGTAATACATACATAGGGATCGAGACGTAGGCAAAGGTTTAGGTTTAGGATTAGGTTTATACGTAAACATAGGCAAACATATGTATCGCGTAGGTAGAAGAGCGCGCCACGTGGAGAGAAAAGAGAGAAAAAGTTATGTTCTAATCAAATCGTAATTCATTTCGGTTCAATTAAATGGATCGGGACGTTCGCACTGCACATAAAAAAAGTGTTTGTTCTAAAATGTTAAAACCGTGTTTAAGGGTTATTGAAGATTTCTCATGGGAGAACGAAGACGGAGCCTTTAGTACAAATTCAAATTGAAGTCATTATATGATGGTCAACAAAAACCGAAGACCTAACGTCTTCCAGTAAGTTATGTAACATTGAAATAATTTGTTGGTCATTTTGCAAAAATATAATAAACAAACAATATATGCAGTAAATAGATTGTCTCACTTGGTAGCAAACACACTTTCGGTCATTGCTTTACATCTGTTGTGGCCAGTGCGAACGACCCGCTTAAGAATTTGGCATTTGGCATTTTGCAACACTTAAACCTAGTTACGCTCTACGGCTCAAGGTGCACGGGTTTCGGTGGTGGGGTTGTGGGGGTCGGAGAAATGAGTGTGCCAGAGCAAGATAGAGATAGTGAAAGATAGCGGTGTGACAGAGACGGGGAGTGGGGGGTCTGTGCAGCAAGCGAGTGGCGTTATCCAACACTTACCCAGTAGTCAAACGTCGGTCTCGATACTAACGGCCAGGGCATTATTGTGCCTCATGGTGAGGCCGCTGCTGCCGCTGCCGCTCGTTGCCGCCGCTGCGCTTGCGTTTAGTGTGTGGGACTGTTGCTGCTGCATTTGTTGCTGTTGCTGCTGCTGCTGCTTAAAGCCGTTCTGCTGCTGCTGCTGTTGCTGCTGTTGCTGATGCTGGTAGAGGTGCGTCTGCGTCAGCTGCTGCAGGGGATGCTGCAACTGCTTGTCAATCGACATCGACAGCGAGGATGACACCGGTTGCTGCGATTGCTGCTGCGGTTGCTGCTGCTGCTGCGACTGCTGCTGCGCTCCCAAAAATGGAGCCACCGCACTGCGTCCAGGATGTGGGTCTGTCAATCCCGGCGTGGACTCGACACCATCGTCCAAATCCATCATATCCGATGAGGACTCGGACAACGATGATTTCTTCATGTGTTGACCTACTTGGTGGTTGGTATGCATTTGTTTAGTGTGTTTTGTCGCAGTGTGTTTCACGCGTTGGCAGACAGAGTGTGTTGTGTGTGGGTGTGTGTGTGTGTGTTCGTATTTGATGTGTGTATGACATGTGTTCGTGATCGGGGGATTCACACAATACCAGGGATGCAGGAGCGGAGTTTCGGATGGATGGGTTTCGAGTTTGATTTGAATTTGGTTTTGGTTTTTGGTTTTTGAGGTTGTCGGGTTTTTGGGTTTTTCGGGACATTTTTGTGTGGAGGTCACGTTTCGATATTCGAATTGGCCATTACATTGACGGAATAAAGAGAGAAACAAAAAGAAGAGAGAGAGAAGAGAGAAAGAGGAGATCACACATACAGTTGTAATGCATCGGTAACAGTAATGTTTTTTGCTGTAGTACTCGCTTACACACAAAACACACACAGTACGTGCACGTTGGTTGTGGCACCGCTGTCTATACCGCTGCCCCACCGACAGGGTTGCCACCCACCGGCGCTGCAGCATCTCACCCACCAGCCCACCAACATTGCGGGGGATGGTGGGTGCTCGGCAGTGCCCAGAGAAAAAACATAACATCTGTTTCATTTTGTCATCTCGACTTTTTCAATTAATCATTTACTGTGCCCATAATCGTTGGCATATCAGTGAGTATCGATCATAATTTATGGGGTTTTCGAAAAACGAGTATTATGATAAATAAAGATAAAAGACTTTTTGAAGCGAAATGGTAAATCAAATATAGCTTGAAACCTCATTAGTTTTGGGATTATTTGATCTAGCATGATACAACTGTTTTTTTTTTTGATAGTGTTACACAAAAACTTGGAGTGTTAAAAAAAATCTATAGTGGCCTTTAAAGGATGCAAGATGCTAGTTGAGATTTGAAATCATTCAGAGCACAATTGCTAAAGATTCCGCGCTGATATGCCTCGGATTGAAGCTGGCTGGACATCGACGACCTCTTGTGGTGATATTTTTTCTCCGTGTGACAACGTGTCTGGTTCGAAAGCAGTGCCGGTACCCATCCGCTTGGGCGCCAGTTGGTGGTGCTGCCAATCGGGAGGAACATGGGTTTCTTTTTCTTTTTTTTCTTTTTCTTTTTTTGAGTTTTTGCATTCGGTTGGTGGTTTTGGGGGCACTCGGCACCGCCTTCGGCATCGGCATCCACAATTCGTTTCTTTCTTCGTAAATGTTTCTATTTTTATTCGACGGGTTCTACTTTTTGTTGCTCTACTTGAATTTGTGGTTTGGTTGGTTTGGTGGTTCTGTCGGTAGTGGGTTGTTGGTATTCTGGGTGGGTTTGTTGCGGGTTTCTGGGTGAGGTAAATGCGAATCGAGTACGGAGGGGGCCGGGGATAGTCGGGGGGTCGAGCCAAGGCCACAACAGATATACGGAGATACGGAGGCACGGAGCGATTCAGAGAGAGAGACAGAGAAAGACGGGGACTCGCAGTGGGGGTGCACACATAGTGTTGAACTTACCTAATGTACCTGGCAAATATGGACAACTAGTAACGTGATTAAAGTTCTGGCTCTGCATCTCCTCCTGATCCGTTTCGCGGTGATAGAAGTAGTTGAAATTGCTGACGATGACCGGCACCGGCAGTGCGATGGTCAGCACGCCAGCAATGGCACACAGTGATCCCACAATCTTGCCCCAAACGCCGACGGGTCTGAACCATTATTCATTTAATCAATCAATCATTCAATCATTCAGTCAATCAATTAATTTCGGATAATCAATTTTTTAATTAATATTCGTGAATTCGATTTCAATCGATAGTCGTGATCGTGTGTCAAACGATAAACGATACAATGCAATTTTTGATTGGCAATCATTTGCACATACAATTTTTCCCGGCGTTTTAGGGTTGCATTTTGTTATTTTGATAATTATTTGTTTTTTTTTTTTTTTAAATTTATTTTTTATGGTAAGATATAGGTGCAATTTTTATTGTTGGTTGTTGGGAATATTTGTTTTTGATTTTGATTAACAATTGATATAAATTTTATTTGAGTTGAAAATTTTAGAGTTGGTTGGTTGTTTTTTAAATTCATTTTTGGTATTGGTTTGTTTGGATGGAAGCGAGCGATGTTAACGAACGAACGATATAAATAAAATGAAAATACAAATATATAAGAAATGTAAAGTAAAACTCTCGTTTTGTTCTTAGTATTTCTTTTGCGTTGGTTTTTTTTATCATATATACTGTATGCATTGGCAAAATTATACGGCATTACGCATTATATAGATACAGATACAGGTATAGATATCGATAGGTGTACGCTTATAATTATATTTATAGAGAGGAGGGCTTGAGTAGGCATTAGTCTAGCAGAGAACGTTCAAATCAAATCAAAGTGGCGCAAAGAGTACGAAAGTCGAAAGAAGAAGGCACAACACTTAGAACAACGGGTGGGTAAGCGTATATCTGGAAATATTCTGTAGTCTTTTATTTTGTTTCTTGTGGGTATCTCTGTTGGCAGTTTCTGAAGCGGCTTGTTCGTGTGCTTACATACGGACATAATTATTGCATAAGTGCGAGCGACTGGCTTAGGTGTTTTGTGTGGGTGCGGCAGGTGGGTTGGTGGGCTGGTGGGATCGGGAGTGCGAGGGCTCGGGTCTGGTGCAAGTGTGTAAGTGTGGGTGAGGCGAAAACTTTTTCCTTCTCCGATTAAAGTTGGTTCTTGGGGGAAGGGGGAGGGTTCTGGTATCATAGGCAATTGGATTTGGCAGGCGGCTGGGCTTTGTTGCTCATTAGGCTGCTGTAGCTAAACTTTTTGTCTCAGTGTGCGTGTGTGTCCGTGTGTGAATGGGGCGAGTGTGTATGTGTTTCGTGTTCGTGTATGTTTATCGGGCACATGCAGCATGCTCGTCTTCGTCTCCTCCATCCTTTTTTTGTTTTGGTTTTTTTTCTGTTCTTCCCCTCCAGCTTTATTGTGTTCGATGTGGGGGTGTTGGGGGTTAAACTCGATAAACTGTTTGGCCAGCAAATGAAGTTATCGTTATCGCTCGGCGGGCGTGGTTCCATCACCCAGTGTTTGTGTGTGGGTATAGTTTGTGTGTTTGATGATGGCGATTATGGGCGGCACTGTACAGTGAAGATACAGCACCCGGTATGCGAAATAAATCGAGCTGAATTGATGACTTGTTTCGGTACTTTTCGAGATTATTTCGGTATTTTTTCGGTATCTTTTGTGAACTAAACAACGACACAACGTTACATAGGTAATTTGCGATAAGAAAATTATAAGCAAAGTAAATGAACTTCGCGCAAAATATAAAACAGCTAAAAACCCAAAATGAAAACGCAATGAGATGGCAACGGAACACGCGAGAGAGCGAGATGGAGGTTGAGCGAGTGCGAGCGAGAAAGAAAGGTGATGCCAACTGAAAGCCGTTAAACGTTACAAAACCAAATGGAATGAAACACAAGATTTAAGACAAAGATTAATACAAATACGAAGACAAAGACAAATACAAATACAAATAGATGTCGTTATAGACAAATACAAATACAAACAAACAGCTCAGCGAGTCAAAGTAAGAGACAACAACGTTTAAGTTTGGTTTTGCATATTATTAATCGGGAGATACGAACTCAAAGGGGTTAAGAAGAGGTACAGTTAGTTTTGGATACATTTCGATAGATAGCTTTAATTGGGTTAGCGTTGTGGGGCGGGCTCTTAATAATCACACATAACGCATATAGGGGTACAGTTGAAAATGAAAATTAGAACAGAACACAGAGGTGGAACGGAGAAGGAATGGAGCGCCCAGAAAGAGGCGCTCCCAAGGCGGGAACGAAACGAAAACGAAACGATAACGGAAACAGAACGTAAAATCAAAATTGGAGTTATCGTTAACGTAATCATAAAAGTTAGAATTGTATAGATTTGCATACGTCATGTCACCATATCCAACGGTGGTCATGGTAACGACCGCCCACCAAAATGCATCGGGTATGGACTTGAAGAAGGAATTTTCGCTTCCAGCTTCCGCAAAATAAACCGCCGATGAGAAGAGTACGACGCCTAAAAAAATTGATGGGAGAAACATTGCTTTGCATTGGTATTATATTCTTTAAAGTTATTTTGTTTTTTTAGTTTTCTTTTTTTTTTCTTTTTAAAATTAACATTTAACCAAAGAGTGTTTTGTTGAAAGTAAGTCTTTAATGTCTGGATGCGTCGCAAGCTCGTCAAGGTGGTGTACGTATGTGATGGTGAGGTATTTGTGTTCCAAAGTGCATTTGGCATCTTTGGTACGGCTTCTGTTTCAGTTTCAGTGCTTTTGTTTTCGGTTCAACTTAAAAGAGTTCTGATATATTCACGTGTGTTTTTTGATCGACTTCACCACAATCCAGCGGCATTCCCAAGCAGAAAATCACGGCTTACCTAGGGGTTTCTTTATTTTGTATTTAATATATATTAATATGGTCAGAGGAGTAAGGTGGTTTCTGGTGAGCCGCCCGCTGTTCGTACTGCTATGGGGCCCAGAAATATGGTGATATCTTTGCAGGCGGAGTAAACGGCGACAGCGAATGTCTTGAAAACGAAATCAGCCTCCATTCCTTATTAAGGGGGCTAGTGGGATGCGGAGTGGGTGGATGTTGGTACATACTCAGGACGAACATAACGTAAAACAGATGAAAATCGCAAATTGAAAAGGGGGATGGACAGCGACGCAAAACGGGAAACTGATCATGCCACAAAAAAAAGAAACACATAAGGAACGGGAATGAAAGGATATAAAAATGAGACAAAAAACAGAGGGGGAGGGGTAAAGGTCCATAAAAGCGAGCGATCACCACACAAGGAACCAAAACATCAATAGTATATTCACATCGTTTAATTTACAGAGGCTGCTTTTTCGACACAACTGTACACAAGGCACAGTTTGGGGGCGGAACGCACGAAATGGAACCACCATAATTCGATTTATTTACATTAGCATTGAGAGTGAGAAAGCAAAACACCAATGACACACATAAAAAGCATTAGAAAGACATATAGTTGAGATATGGGAAAGACTGTACAACACTCAGTTACGAACACTCAGACAATGAAGAGAGACAGACAGAGAGACAGAAAGAGAGATAAGTGTAGATATATAGAAGGCGGGATCGAGAGTAGCTAGTGCCGGGACCACACCAGTGTGGATCTGATTTGAAACGTGGGCTGTACCTCATATCACCATATCCCACCGTCGTCATGGTCACCACAGCCCACCAGAAGCCGTCCGGTATCGACTTGAAAAAGGAACTGTTGCTGCCAGCCTCCGCGAAATAAACCGCCGACGAGAACAGGACCACGCCTGAATCACGATCCGAGCGGACCGTTGAAATAGAGATCAATCGTTATTAACAGTGCAATCAATGGTTATTTTCTGCTTGGGAATCGGTTTGGGGATTGGTCTGGGTTGGTTGGTTCTTTGGGTCACAGGGGCTGATGTCTGAGTCCCGTCAGACTGCGAGGTTGATTAGTCCCCTTCTTATTAGTTCGTTAAAACAACTACAAGATATACATAAGACTATGATTATGAGTTAGTAAATGTTTTTTGGGTTTCTTTCTCTTGGAGTTCAGTGCACGATAAGGAAAACTATATATAATATATAAGATGTTATCGAAAATGTTTGAGGAGTATTCTCCGTTGGATATTGATATGTATGTGTGGGTAGTCAGTGTCTATGTGGGTGTGTTTGTGTGGGTGTCACATAAAAAGTTAGCAAAATATTACAAAGGCGATAACGAAAATTGGCATGTTACTCGGCGCAGAGATCGCAGACAATTGCCTATATCTCTGCGCTCTCACAAGTTTGGGTGTGTGTGAGAGAAAGAAAGAGAGAGTGTGTGTGTTTGTGTTAGTAAGGTTAGTAGGGCTACTTGATTGGTGGGAACTAGCTATACAGAAGATTATTGGTTTATAGAGAACATTATTAGTTTTGGTTTTGATTAGAGTTAAACATGGAACTAGCTAGTACTCTGTACAATACAATATACATACGTTATCGGTTCATAAGTAGTAGTAGGTAAGTAGTTATATCGATAGAGTTCTATACATATATATCAATATATCGATGTATATGTATACGCGTACAGGTAAATATGATGGGGCTACACTACGGCAAGACAAATGATACGGTAACGAAAACGAATCGAATCGAAAGCAACCATCGAAATTCTAAATATATCAATACCGATAAACCATACAAGTGTATATCAGTTGTGTATCGCAGATGCCACTCTATAGGTCTTTGGCTGCGCTGGGGACTCTGCAATTTTGAAAGCCAACTAACAAATATCTAACGTAACGTAACGTAACGTAACAAAACGGAATGGAGTGACCGTAACAGACACAGAACTCAACGTAACTGATATGTACAGGATATTTACGAGTATATTAGAATATGCAGATAGTTGAGAGTAATTGGGTAGCGATATATTGATATAGATGTGTTCATGTTCATGTCAGTTTAGATATGGTACACTATAGATTATACATACGAGTATGATATACTTAGGTATGGTTAGTAAATACGTTAATCGGTCAACGGATACAACAACAAACTATAAGCTAGAAATTACCAACTAGAAATTAGGATCTAGTAGCTAGAAACTATAAAACTAAAAGCAAAATTCAAACCACGGCACAATCTGTGGACATGGACATCGAAACGACAACGTTGATGATGAGTACGGTTTACGGATTACTGAAAACGGTTTACGGATTATTGAATACGGATTACTGATTACGGTTTACGAACATCTTGAATGTGGTAGAGAACATGAACAACAATACAAAATATATATAATTTATTTGATACAGATGGTTAAATTTTAGTTTGCTGAATTTTTCTATATGCATAAGGTTGGAACACATATCGATCACCAGTTCTAGTTGCTATTTATTTTGTTTGGTAGGACACTTTGAATGCCAAGAAGTTTGCCAATTTTAAGGCATTTTCAGCGCAGTTTGGGCACATCAAAAAATGTTGATGAAATGAATGGGGGTTTTGGGAAGGGGAGAAATTAAACACACAGAGAAGAAGATTAGATACTTAAGAAGACAGCTTAGATCTGCGCACAAATTGCGTGAGGTCCTTAAAATTGCCAACGACTTGAGCTCGGCAGTTTGGAGATACAAGAAACGACCCGGTGCCAAGGCACTCGATCACTTTCGCCCCCCTCGTCTGCCGTTCGCACTTTGTCAGAGTATATCAGGAGTAATAGACTAAAATTCGAGTACATTGAGAGACTTTGCTGCTGGTTATCCAAAAAGCTAGCCAAAACCAAACTGAAATATAATATAAACGGATATCCGTAATACAAAACGGAAATCAATAGAACTCAAGGAACAAATCCAAAGTGAACGATACTTATACTCGTAGAGCTCTTTGGCGGGTCTGAAGGGGATATCGGGGATCGTGGGATCGAGGGATCGCTAGCCTATCGCCGCGCCATCGGACGATAGTCGTACCTACTTAGCGCTAGGATTAGACGACACTAAATAAGTTAGATATACGTAATGGGTGAGTTATACGAGTACGCCTAGATAATACGGATAATACACGCTCTATGGGCCTCCCTCTATTGTATTTGTTTGGCTTGTGTGGGCGTATGTATGTGTGTAGATGTGTGTGTGTGTGGTTATAACTAAATAGTATGACTAGTTTACGTTACTTTAGTTTACTTTAGTTTATAGCTTTATGTTTTAGGTCTAATCTCTATTGGAGCAGTTTCGTTGACTTTATTTTTCGGGGCTGCGGGACAGGGGGGTGTCTGGTGGATACACTATATCTAGATATGGGCACTTGATCTGAACAAGTACTGGGAGCTCCCGTATGTGGTATACCTTAGTTTAAGACTGGGGTTTTGGGCTTTCGCCGAGTTGCGTGAGGCAAATCAAATCAGAAAATGATAAGTTCTTAAAAAGCATAACACTTTCTGTTTGTTGTTGTTTGTTTGTTTTTTGTTTTTTTTTTTTTTTGTTTTTTAGTGGTTTGGTTGGCTGGTTTGTCTGTGGCGCAATGAAACATTTGGCGGGTTCGGTTTCTTTTTGTTTAGAGGATTGGAGGTTCGTGATGAGCGTTAACATAAATGTGCTGGCTTGAGGCAGACGTAAGCAGAGATAGATAGATATATTTATGTATCTTTTGTGGTTGTTTTAATTCCCGATCTCGACCATCGATTCCGCGTCCTTTCTTATCGATGTATTTATAGAAATAGTTATAGTAGTTTGTGTATCAGGACGTTGAGACAGAGAAGAGTAGTTAGAAATTGAGCTTTTAGGGGCAGGGTAGAGGGAGTGAGTCTGTCTGGATGGTCGCAGTCGTTTTGCAGTATTTCTCTTTTGTTTTTGTTGTTTGAATAAAACTCGTAAGTCGATAAGTAAATGTGGTGTTTGTATTATTTTTTTTTTTTGTTGACTGTATGGAACTTACCTATAAATAAGAAAAATATAAGTAAACCTAATTCCCGCATTGAGGCTTTCAGAGTTCGTCCTAATATTTGTAAACCCTTCGAATGCCTAGATAACTTAAATATTCGAAATACTCGAACTAATCGTATCACTCGTAATATTGCCAAGGACATAGCCTGATTCGATGACTTGTCCTAAAAATTTTATCGAAATATATATATATATATATATATAGAAGAGATGGTATGCATATATATATATGTAAGTTGGTATGTACTGGTGTGTATCGTTTATATATATATGATGGATGTTCATTTACATAGCTCGATCGTATGTATATAGAGGTGAGTAAGCGGATGTTGGCTTGTGTTAATATCGGTAATATACAACATATCGATAAACTGGACTTTGGTTTCGGGATGTGGAATGGGGTGGGGGATATTGGGGCGGGTTGTTTGTGTACGTTTATTGTGTTGGTGGGAAGAAATGAAGAGATTTGATTGGAGTTTGTTTTTAGTTTTCGGGCTTGGGGCGGGCAGGCAACCCCTTTATCATGTCAGGCAACTTATAAATGATGATGGCAACACTTATTACTTCAATCGGTTCAACTGTTTATGCTTGTGAGTGTGTATAGTAGTGTGTGATTGGTTAATATCGATACATGTGTAGTTGGCATTGGGCAAACAGAAATCTCATACCTGTGGACTGACTGGCGCTTTTGGAAGATTTAACGTATCCTCCTCTTCGGCAACGACAGTCGCTAGTGTTATAAAGTACGGAATGATGGCGATTATGTCGATAACATTCATGACATCCCTGCAGAAATTTAATTTGTTCGGACATGCGAGGAACCTGAACACACACAAAATCGATACAACGACCAGCGATTGGTTTGGTTTAAAGATTCACACAGACAGCGCGATAGAGAAACCGAGAGCGAGAGAGAGAGAGAGAGAAAGAGAGATGTAAGAGAGAGAAAGGAGATTTCAGATTGAAATAGTTGAATTAAACCAGGAGTGTCGAACAAAAGCAAAGCAACGGACAGAGAAATATATAAGATATTACGAAAAGAAAAAATCGAAGACAAAACAGGAGAGAACGGAAAATCAATCAATGTTTGTACTCAATATGAGACAGAGTTTTAAATAGATAGAGAGATATTGTATTCGAGTTCAAGTTCAAACTAATATTTCTCTTTCGTTCGCTTAGCTTATGACTAGGTGTACGCATAATAGTTTGCAATGGAAGTGAGCGGCCTACCTGACGGTTAGTTCAAATGTAAACCAAATAATACATAACGTTTCTATAAGGAAGAAAGGATCTGTGATGTCAGGCACCTCGTCTTCCTCGATTTTTGTGCCATTTGTTGTTGTATTGAACACCTGAAAGCACACCAATAGAACACACAAAAAAGAGAGAAAGAGAGAGAAAGGGGAGAAAGAAAGAGTTGTATCCATTGGAGGTCCTTCGGCTTGATTCGTACGCACCTTGTAATGCTTAAATTCGGGTAATGTTTCTAGACAAAATATAACAATTGATAGCAATATAACAAATACACTAATTATGGCTACAACTCTGGCGGCTTGCGAACTTTCTGGGTACTCGAAGAGCAGCCAGACTTTTCTTTGCTTCTCATTATCCGGTAATGGTCTTTCTTCCTCTTTAATAAAGCCTTCATCCTCTCTGCAAGTAGAGCAATAGTCAATGATCCCATGTTAGTACAGAATATTCCTACCAGGTTTTAATGAAGGTAATGATGTAAGGGTGTTGGTGTTCGTGTGGGCTTGTGAGTGTGGCGTTTTATTAGTTTAATTGGTATTTTATAGGCACAGATTTTGTTTATTGGTTCGCAACTCTAATCGGAAGCAGGCAAAGGCTCAAATCGAAAGCTAAGCTAAACTAAAGATTGAAATCGATTCAAAGCCGTAAATAAAGCGTTGACTCTAATAAGAATCTGGCTTGTGGCATTAGAAAAAAGTAAGGAAACATTTTGTTGGCTGCATCCCGCTGAATCGTCCTCGATCGTCCTTGCCTCGGTAGATCTGCCATCCTTTTCCATTTCCGCTCCACGGGTCCGGCCACACTGCCCCCCGCGCCGTATCAACAAAATTTTAGGCTGGTGGTCAAGTGATTAACATTCACTTTCGCTTTTGCATTTGACCTCGGTCCGTGGTCCAGTCCATCTGTATGTTTCCTGTTTTTTCGAATAATTTTCTTCTACGCTGCCATCGCTGGAGATGCTCAAGTTTCAAGGGAGATTTGTGGGTAAGCTACTTATTAAATTAAACTTACTTTAACGGTTCCTTATACGAGTATGTATTCGGGTTATGTTTTTTGTTTACTCCGTAAGTAAATATCTTATTTACTTAAGGGTGCTTAAGCCCAAGCTTGATAGCAAGATATTTCTACGTAATTTAAGTTTGTTTTAATGCCATCAAATACACTTATTTTTAGAATAACTTTCCCTTGAAGCGCACTTCCAGCCAACGCAATGTGTAGTTTTGTATGTTTGTATTCAAGCCAAGTCTAGATCTATTTCTATGTCTATGTGCGTGTGTCGGTCTGTTTGCCGTGTTGCATGCCTCGTTACACTGATTCGATCAAAATTTGCCGTGCTACCAATATAGAACAAACCGAACCAATTTGTTGTCCCGTTCATTTTTGATTTGTTTAAGTTCTTTGTTTAGTTTTTGTTCGATTTTTGCTTGGGGTTTTGTTTTGGGCTTTTGTTTTATTTACTTTTTGTTTTGTTTTTTTTTTTTACTTTGGTAGGGGAATGGTGGAATTTCTAGTGGGCAACACGTGGGCTTACCTGAATTTATTAATTGCTTGATCACCTAATTCATAAAATTTTATTTCTTCACTAAATACGTCTAAAGGGACATTGACCGGTCTCCGTAGTCGGCCACCTGTGGATAAACGTGATGGGTGTGTTTTGGGTTTTTGGGTTGGCAGTGAGTGGTGGGTGGTGTGTGGTGGTGTGTGGTGGTGTGTGGCGGTGTGTGAATAAAGTCAAGTATTCATTGTTTGTTGTTCGGCGACGACGAGGATAGAGAGAAACAGAGAAACATTAGCCTTGGGTTACACAAAAACGCGGGGTTTTTGGGGATAAGTTGAATGCACTGGATGCTTACCACTCTGATAATAGTATAAAATCGCATCGAAGCTCGGTCGACTACGGTCAAAAAAATATTCATTTCTAAGCGGGTCAAAGTACCGTAATCTCCGAGCTGGATCCCCAAGCAGCGTGTCCGGGAATTGATTTAGCGTTCGTAGTTGTGTCTCAAACCTTAATCCGCTTACCTAAAAAAAGAGGAGAACGGCGAGGGAAAAGCGGTGAAAATATTGACATACCTTTCGATTCGGTCACTCACATTTATAACGACTCTTTCGCAGAAATCATGATCGTGAGGAATGGGTTCAAAGTGTTGCGGTCCGCCACCAAAGCCATGACCAGCCCCCCTTCTTCGTCTTGACTGCTCAATTTGGGCAAAGACCTGTGAATGGATGAGCGTAATATTTCTGGTAAATACGGGACTTTATTTCTTAAGATTTTAATACACTTTATTTTAAATAAATATGACCTATGTATGTATTTATATATATGTATGTATATATATTGCCGTCTTATAAACCTAAATAAAAAATTTGTATAAACTGATTTGGTATTTTTGTTACTACAAAATATTAGATTTATTGTTAAAGGTAGGGAAGTCATATGATCCTTATGGAAAATTGAGGATAGTTATCGCTACAGATTTATATACTGCTTCTTATATTACTGTACTACTTAAACTGCTTGCCAATTAAACTGCTTCCCAATTAACCTGCTTGCCAACTTACAGTCGTTAAAATGCGATTTGTTCATTTGAAAATGTATTATTATTAATGGATAATTAATGAGGTATATGAATGTGTTTAAGATTTGTTTTAAGATGTTCAATGAAAAAGGTTCTATATTTGCACCTTCAAAAGTAAATGATAATAACAAGTATATTCCGTTAAGCAAACCAGTGCAACAAGGTCAAAAAACCAATTTGGTTGAGAAAGTGAGTGCTGAACAAGAAATCTCTTTTTACTCAAGCTTAATTGATATTTGCGCCCAGTTGAGGCTAAACCAATTTGTTCAATTAAAGTCTGCCGATTACTGTCGACACACATTTCAAAAAGCCAAACATCAATTTGTCATTACTTATCCGGCAGACATTTAATTTATAACTAACTTGGCGTTTGACTTTCTTTTTAACTGAAAATCACATCTCCATTATTCAATGCCTTCGATCTTACGGCTCTCCAGTGGCCCTGTCTTTAATTACTTTTCGTCTCGAATCAATTTTCAGATGCTCTGCCATTGAATATTCAATGGCCATGCATATTGCATAGCCGGCGGCAGTCGGGGATTCTCAGCCTGACTTTCTCGATTTCAAATTGCAATTCGCAATTGCGCTGCCAACTTTTCGAGGATACAAAAACGATGCGGAGAAGGTTGGTTGGTTTCCTTTTCGTTTGGCTTAGGCCTCGTTCAAATTAAATTCATTGCACTCATTGCACAAATATACACACACATATACTCGAGTTATATGTATGTATGTGCACACCACGCCCATGCCGGCAATGTACTTATGTTTACACTTGTAATTGAAATTGTATTACAATCGCATATAAAAACGAGCCAACGAGTCGGGCTCAACCACAGCAACACCATCATCGAATCACCCACTCACCCACTCACCCACTCAGCCACCCACCCACTCAACCACCCATCCATTCACCCACCGAATCGCCCATTTGCTGGCAGTGTGCCCAACATTTTCCGCCCTTATCGCTGATGTTGCTGACAATGTGCAATTGTTGCTGCTGTTGCAGCTGCAATTGTTGCTGCTGGCAACTTTTTGGCGTTGCATGGCAGGTTGCCGTTGCTTTTGGTGTTGCCTTTGCTGTTGCTGTTGCTTTTGGTGTTGCCTGCTTTCTGGCGCCGTGCCGTGGCATTTAATTAAGCGTGTAAGTGCACTGGCCCTCCCCCAAATCCCGCAACAGAAAGCTGAAAGCTGAAAGCCGAAAACCTAAAAGTCAAAATGCCTCCCGCCCACTTTTCCCTCCCCCCAATTCACCACCCACATCACTTATCCCCTCCACTCGACTGCAATAATGTCGAGTGCTCGCTCGGACAAATTGTTTGTCGGCATAAATCTTTTCCGGCTGCAACTCCATCTTGCAACGGCGGCGCTTCCTCGTATTTATGGTCCTACATGTGGTCAACACAATAATGGCGCTGTAAATGGACGTTCAGAGCACTTCTTTTCCTCGATGAAATGAATGAGTTTATCGGTTTGAGGGCCAAGTTAACACGTGTAAGTATCTTCAGTTACTGCAAGCATACTCGTATGCATCTTGACTTGGGTTGTTTGAATTTGAATTTATTTATAAATAACTGATAATTAAATAAGGTTTTAGAATAAATTTGTTCGAATCCAAATTAGTATTCTCTGATTTTGTAAAGCATATAGAAACTTATTTCATACTTAAAATCATATTAAAATCATCATAAAATAAGACGAAAAAATTAAGTTATGTTTTTATTTAAATATTAAAATTGATTTTCCAGCGACTAGGGCTTAATTAGGAAGCTTGTGGCTAGGGTTGTCGCCGGTCACAAAGCCAACATTATGGCCTAGATTTTGTACTTTTTATCTCATTTCGGAAGTGTTAATTAGCCAGTCTGTTCTGAAAAAGGTTCTTTGGGTCAGAAGGAGGGGTCGCTTGAATATTTAAGCCCTCATTCATTGGCACTCGATTAACGCGGCCTATTATTCTGCGGCGAAACACGGCTTATGCTGAGCCCCGTTATTTTGCACCGCATATTGCCAAATTGGCATACATTGTTCGCTGTGACGTCAGCAGGCTGCAGGTTGCAAGCCGTAAAAAAAGTGAGTGCAAGGTGGAAAAGGTGAAAAAGGCCGGTTAAGGTGGACCTGTGCTGGGCTCCAAGCCAAATGTCAACAAACAGTTTGGGCCTCCGTTGTAGTAGGCTCTTGCTCGCCTTTGTTTCTCCAGTATCCGCCTTTCACCCCTTCATCCCCTTTATCTCCTTTCAACCCCTCCCCACCCCTCTTAGTGCTCCCATGAATACATGGCAGAACTTGGAGCAGCCAGCTTGTTTATCTACTATATGTAAATGTCAGTCAGCAATTTATGCATACGCTTTACGCTCGCCTCTTTCCGCTCTCCGCTCTCCTCTCTTCGCTCTCCCCCGTCCGCTCTTTGGATCTCTCCATCTCTGTTGCACTTGCGAGCGTGTATATAGGTCAGCGGCACGGCTGATGCGGCTGTGACGTCATTGTCGCCTCCTTTCTAGATGCCGCCGATGTCGATGAGTCCGTTCGCTTGCTGCAGCGACCTATTTACAAGAAACTCGTACATATGTATCCGCAAGTCGCAACGTGAGTCGATACTGTACGGTACGGTACGATACGATACGATACGATACGATCCGAGTCAAGTTGGAGTGAGTGAAAATGAGTGGAGGGACTCACCCACTTCCGTTTCGTTCTGCAGGTGGATTGCATAAGTCGGAGAACAACTGCAGCTGAAGCCAAATTGGAAACGGAAGCGGAAACGGAAATGGAAACGGCGATGGGTGAAGTTCAATGCGATGTCGAAAATCGAAGTGCCATTCCGTCCTAGGGATCGTGAGTACAAGTTTGAGTGTGTGTGAGTGTGAGTGTGAGTGTGAATGTGTGAGTGTGAATATGTGAGTGTCTTGGCATCTGACATGTGCAAGGCAAGTGTGTTTTTGTGTGTGCCAGCTTCTCTGTGGCCGGTCAAGGCAACGTCAGCCCCAGCAGTACTCGCTACTCAGATACTCAGATACTCAGTACTTAGTCCTCAGACCCCCGAGCCCCAAAAGCCGAGACCCACCGACCCACCGACCCACCGACCAACCGACCAACCAAACCACCGACCCCCGGCTTTGGACTATTTTTAGCCGCGTCAACAACGGCATGCTGAAATTCATGAATTAATGCGATGGCGAAAGGAAATTTAAGGCATGCACACGCACACCAGTCGAAGGAGCCTTGAACTGAGGGAGTGCACTTGCACTCGCCGCACATCCCCTTACGCCCCCCGTCTTCCCCAAGTCAACCCAGTCTCCATTGAGGACCCGCTTATGCAGGCCGCACTCCCCAGCTGCGCATCTGCAGGATAATCAAGCATCGGGACCGCAGCTAAGGACTCGTTTCGCCATTTAGGCAAGCCCATTGAGAAGCGCAGAGGAGGGCGCCGGCTCTAATGGGGAAATTTAATAAGATGAATATATTAAGTTCAGCTGTCATCTTCTCTGAATTTAAAGGGGAACCCATTGAGACCCGCCGGGAAGGAAACTTAATAGGTTTAGACTTCTGTGTTGATATCCTCCTCCAGCTTAGCAAGTTCTCAGAAGCGCCCAGTAAAGAGTTTCTTGAGATGAATATATTAAGTCCAGCTTTCATTTTGATTTGATCAAGGCGAAGGATGAACAGATTGAATATTGCCACTCAAGTCAGTTCACAAAGAAGTGCTGAGAAGAGCGTTTAATCCTTTCCAAATAAGCAATCTTCTTTATTTAGTCATAAAAATTTGAATACACAAAACTTCAATATTCAGTTATGACTGTGAATTAGTTAGTGTTAATGACAACTATTTATAGTCAATAATTTAAATATACTTTTTTTAAGGTCATAAACTTTTATTGATCTGATTTATTGATAGCAAAGACAATTTGTACTTATGGATTACCCACTGAGTTGTTTGTTTTCACTAACATATATATTTGTCTAATCTGACAAGTTTGTTTACAGCTCAAATTTGTTTACCCTAAAAATTTAGAAAAGTATACATTTTTTTTTAATGATCCTTTACAAAGAACAGTACATTTGTAAAATGCTCGTGTGCATTTCATGTAAGTAGTGTCTTTTAAATTTTCAGCTTTAAAAATTAGTTAAGCTGTTAAAAACTTAACGATCCAGAGTCTGTTTTGTACACGTCTCGCTAAGACTAGTTGAGAGTTATAAAAGGACAAGTAAAAGCAATACCAATTGATTGAAGCCACAAATGAACTAATCCAGAAATCTTAACTGTTTGAGGAGTTTAGTTTGCAAACTTTGAGTTTGAGTTTTAAACAACTTTAATCAAAACTAATGTACTTGTTTGCTTTTCTACAGATAAACGAAATCAAAAAAACCTTTAATGTTCTGCCTTTAAAAGTGGGCCAGAAACTGCTTTTGTTCCGCCGCGACTTTGTGTGGGGCCACGGCCAAATCGATTGCCCCTCAGGGAAAAAGCATTGATAAAGCTGATTTGCAATCGCCTCCTATTGGAACCCACATGGGCGCACGCGGAGGGGGATCGGGGGATTGGGGGGCGTGTCAACATGATTCAATCAACGCCGTCGAACGAGAGGCGCCGCAGGATGTGCAAGGTGAATGCGAAACAGGATTCAACGCTGACGTCACAAACG